GTCCAGGCCTACACGAGATGAGGCAGGATAAAGAGGGATAATCCCCCTCGATCCCAAATCATTGAGGCCAATTTCTAGCCATAGAATAATGGCGCGGCGAGTGTTCAGTGGTGTTGTATTGTGTTACTAGAAGTTGGGTTATGTATTCTTGTGTTTTGTGGCTAGTTGTGTTATTATTATATTGAATTGAAACTACACGTAAATAGAAAGATCTGTCGTATGTTATCAATCTTTTGATTAAACTGAATATCAAAAGGAAAGGATTATCAAAAAAGCAGCATGGAACAGCAAGTAAATGTATACCGTAAGATGCTAGCAGTTGCAATATCAAGTATTTTATTAGAATATGGATGTGATACTGCGGAAAAGGAGGCTTTAGGAACATTAACAGAAATGATACAAGCATGTATGTATAGATTTCTGGTGTACACTGTACACTAACTAATTTCATGTTTGTTTCTATTTTTCAGTTATAACAGAGATCGGTGCATTAAGTAAAAGTTTTTGTGAATTAAGTGGTCGATGTGAACCTGTAATAGCGGACGTTATATTAGGCTTTGTAGAAATGGGTAAATTGTTAAAGCACAGTTGAAATTTTCATCTCTGCATTATTTTGATATTATAGGTTATGACTTCAGTAACTTGGATGGTTATATCAAATCTAACAAACACGCAGTGCTACCTGCACTACAGCCACAACAGCCCCAAAAGCAACTAAATATGTTATCTGCAGGAACTAAACAACCTTTACCTCCACATATTCCACAACATTTTCCACCGTTTCCAGATCCCCATGCTTACGTCAGGACTCCTGTAAGTATTGTCTGTTCGTCAGAATGTGCAGAATTAAATAAAACATAATTTTCAGACCCATAAACAACCAGTTATTGATTACGAATCTGTAAGGGAAAAAGCTGCTATTCAGAAGCGGGATATTGAGAAAGCTTTGACTAAATTTTTAGCCAAAACCAGCCCAACACATAATTTATTTGATACTGATGAAGCAAACATATTTCCATGTAAGTAGAATTTTTGCGAACATGATATTTTAATCCAATTATAACTTTTGTCTTAGTGGTAGCAACGAAACCTGTATATCCACCTTACCTAAGTGCCCTGCTTCCCCAAGATCAAATCTTCGATCCTGAAGATTTAGATTTTGATCCAAAGAGTCAGATAATACAGCAGCAAAAGAATCATGATAAAGCCAAGAAACGTATTAAGCCCGAAATTAAAAAGGAAGAGGAACCTGGAGAATTATTGAATGATTCCGTAAAAAGTAACGAGGAAAATACGACCAGTAACAGTTATATCGATAATCCCTACTTAGCTGCAACAAAGTTACCTGCGAATCAGGTTATGGATGTTTCATGACAAGGAAAGGAACGATTTCACTGACTTCATCTTGAATTATGACTATAAACTACTATTAAGTGAATTTATTAAGTGCAGGATATCAAGTAGAAGTATCGAGTTGAGGTAAAATGTTTTCAGTAGGTTAATAAGTAACAACTAAAACATAACACATCTTTACTGTACATTTTCAGTTATATTACACTCTACTTCTAATTTAAAAAATTCACAGTATTAATCTTAATATTATCACAAAAATAACTGTATTACAATCGAATAATGGTTTGTTCGCAAATCCATAAAGTAAAGGTTGAAATAGAGCAGTATCTTCTTTATACATTGTCCACCCCACTATCCTTTCGTCCCTGTTTTGCTCCATCAACCACAGCATTAGGGGTTGGAAGTAGTCCAGCATGGCATCAGCGGTTAGGCGATTAGAGTCGCCCTTTGTCAGCATTTTTATTATGTCCTTCCAGTGTCTCGCTTTACCCACCTTCATTATATCGCTGAAAATTAGTTTATAAATTGTGGATTAAAAAAAAAATAAAATAAACGGGTAAAGTACATCTTAAAAAGAGACTTACATTAACACCCTACCCGCTTCCCTGGAACGATATATATCGCAAGAGTGCAGTGGTCCATCATATCCGGCTGCGTCACACATTGCTTCGTGAATTTGGAACTCCAAGAGAAGGGCTACATAGTATCGGATATAAGGAATATCGGCTGGAATGTGTCTCTTAGCAGCTGCGTCAAAGTGGTTCTCAGATCTAGGTACCGGTGGTACAATGCCTTGCAGTCTTAGTCGAAGGTCCCACCAATTTCGATTCATTTTGCTCACTCCGCTCTCAAAAATTTGGTACCTCCACTGCAAATTTACATTATCAGTGGTAATTTTTTTATGAAACATACAAAGTATACCTGATCGACTAAATAGGCAAAAGGTGCATATGCAACTTTTTTTAAAGCCATAAGTAATAAAAAGTTAATGTTACTTTCATATATTTCTGTGTTATTGTTGAAGAGACCTACTCTTCGTAAATGTACTGGGTTAAAAACTGACAAAGTTATAGAATTTGCGACACCTTCATGGAATCCTAAAACGTATAAAATGTATAAAATAGGAAAATTTTATATAGATATATCAAACCTGGGTTAGCTCCATCTCTGAATAAGTAAGTTTGGTCTGAATAATACATATAATATTCAATATGAGTCATTTCATGATGGATGGTAATCAAATTTTTCATATTGACTTCAGTGCACTGTTTTATCCTAAAAATAAGAACAAATTATTTAAAAAAAAAGGAATCCCATTATTTAAATTAGTTAATTTCTCACCTAAAATCAATTTTATTACAAAAGTCCCATGCACTAGCAGTGCATTGTGCTTTTCTACCATTGGGTCTTTCCAGCATGGAATGTCTCCAGAATTCTGGAGGCATTGGTTTTAATCCAATGGATGTAAAAAACTCTTCAGCCATTTGAAACATCCTATAAAAAACATTATATAGTACGTCAGTAAAGTAATGCACAAATGTAATAAAAAGTCAAGTATTTTTTTACAAAAACTCCCTTAAACGCTAAATGAATCTTTATACTTATAGATCATGAGCTAGCGCACATGGGTGTGGCGTCATCAAAAAATGTCTGGCATTTTGAGGTCTGAAAAAAGTAAGTTAATGAAAATAAGGGTGGTTTTAAGGGCCGACCCGTGTTCGAAAATTTGGAAAATTAATTTCCTTTTGCATGAAATAATTTGGATTTCACTCATGTTAAAGTGTCTTAAATAGACATTAATAAGTACCTAACAATTTTCAAATGCCAGATGGTTTTAAATAGCCGAAAGGGTGGTTCATAAGGGTGAACTTGCAAGAAGAAAAAAAAATGTATAGTTTACTTTTTGTCCGGCAATCGAAACAATGAAAATTTTTGTTATGAATATGATAAAAATAAATTGTCAGACGGTTTCCATTGTTGGGAGTTGAGTATCTCTGCGGAAAATTATGTGAAAATTTTTAACATTTTTCAGTGTACAAAAAAAGACGGCCATTGTCTTTGCGGTATTATAAAATGTTATTCATTTTTCAATGCCAGACAAATTGGCCGGTTCTAAAATTTATAAATAAATAAAGGCGTGAAAAAATTTATAAAAATTTCCATAATTTATTTTTGTCTGGCATTTTGCATTTCAATTAGAAATGTGCGTATAAACACAACATACAAATGCCAGACAAGTTGAGCTATTCGAAAATGTATAAATGAATTAAAAAGTTACAAAAAAAATATTAATAAAAAATTGGGTTTCTATTTTCTCTAATTTGAACGATTTATATTTGTCTTGCATTTTGCATTACTATTGAAAATACATATTTATACTTCAAGTTAAAACGCCAGACAAGTTGTGTTGTTCGAAAATTAAATTAAATTTAATAGTTGTAAAAAAATTAATGAAAACTTCAGTGTCTTTTTTTTGTCTGGCAATTCGTTTTTTAATAAAAAATACATTTACAAACTCAAATTAAAAATGCCAGACACGTTGGGCTGTCCGAAAATATATAAATAAATAAACAAAGTTGTAATAAAATAATAAAATGATTTTAATTTACGAAGGTTTTTCCTATTTTCCAGCTTTTCTTGGCTAGGTAAGTCACTTCCGTTGACAGCATCAGATTCAGTAGGAAATTTTACGTCGGAAATAGTATCTTGAGTATGTTTCCCGAGTAATTACAGCTTATAATATAAAGAGGAAAAGTCGAAAAAAATGGGAAATTGTATTTTTTTACAACTGTATTTATTTATATATATTTTCGAACAGCCCAATTTGTCTGGCAGTTTTAATTTGAGTTTGCAAATGTATTTTTTTATTAAAAAACGAATTGCCAGACAAAAAAAGACTGCTGAAGTTTTCATTAATTTTTTTTACAACTATTTAATTTAATTTTTTTTTTTAATTTTCGAACAACCCAACTTGTGTGGCGTTTTAACCTGAAGTATAAATATGTATTTTCAATAGTACTGCAAAATGCTAGACAAAAATAAATCATTTAAATTAGAAAAAAAAAGAAAACAAGTTTTCATTAATTTTTTGTAACTTTTCAATTCATTTATACATTTTCGAACATCTCAACTTGTCTTGCATTTGTATATTGTGTTTATACGTGTATTTCTAATTGAAATTCAAAACGCCAAACAAAAATAAATCATTTAAACTTTAATATATTTTTAACAAATTTTCTTTTGTCTGGCACAATTTTTGCATTTTCCAATTTGTCTGGCAAATTTTTTGTGAAGAAATATGGGTATTAATTTTAAGTACCCGAGATACCAGGCAAATAGTGATCACTGAAAAATGTTAAAAATTTTCACATAATTTTCCGCAGAGAAACTCGACTCCGAACATTGGAAACCGTTTGGCAATTTATTTTTATCATTTTCATAACAAAAATTTTCATTGTTTCGATTGACAGACAAAAAGTAAACGATGAATTTTTTTTTCTTCTTGCAAGTTCACCCCTGTGAACCACCCTTTCGGCTATTTAAAACCGTCTGGCATTTGAAAATTGTTAGGTACTTATTAATGTCTATTTTTGCATCAACTGCCAGACATTTGAGATAAGTGAAAAACTAATTATTTTATGCAAAAGGAAATGAATTTTCCAAATTTTCGAACACGGGTCGGCCCCTAAAATCGCCCTTATTTTCATTAACTAACTTACCTTTTTCAGACCTCAAAATGCTAGACATTTTTCGATGACGCCACACCAATGTGCGCTAGCTCACGGTGTATTATGGTATACTTTTCCATCAGAACATTTTTTAATTGTTAATATTTAAATTATCTGAATAATAAGTATATCTGGCTGGGTGGTTTATTACATTAATAAATACCCATTTCTGGTATCATATAAATACAGGGTGTCCGCAAATTTCACCGATAACGTTTGACTGCATACTCACGATTATAAATAAATACATTCTACGAAAAAAAGTTAAATAAAAACTTTTTGGTTTTTGAGTTACAGGCCTTCAAAGTTGTAAAAATAAAACTAATTTAATTAATAACTTCATAACCCTTTTACCGTTCACGTTAAAATTTGGCACATTTATTTGGACTATTATGTCGTATTATTTCTTTCTAAGTTTTGGTCAAATCAATATACTGGGTGATAGTTTTCTGCGGTTACTTCTCCCTTTTAGCGGTCAAAACTTTTACAGTGGTCGTATTTTTTTAAAACGGGCAGCAACATTGAAAAGGTCGTTTTATTTAAAAAAAATGTTTCTTGAGAAAATCGCCTATAGAAAGCCATTCTTGAGAAAAATGGCATTATTTGCAGGCCTGTATATTTCAGTTTGCGTAGCACCGTCACCGATTTACAACTTCAGTTCAGTGGGTGATGAAAACAAGATGTTAATTGCTATGGCTATCAGGTGATGTCATTGTGGTCGTGTTTCTTTAGGATTCTCATCACTCCACACATGTAAATTATGAAAATCTATAACTCCGTTCCTTGTAAAATAAGATTCGTCGGTACACAACAATTTTTGAAGCGAATTATTATCTTCTGCCAAGCCATTCACAAACCAGCCACAAAATTGTAAACGTGCTTTGGGATCTAAATTTTCAAGTTCTTGTGCAGGACTTAAATGAAATGGCCGTAGAAGTTGCTTTTTTAAAGTTTCGTGAAATTTTTCTTATCATTTATGCACTTCTGTCGCGGCAACTGAATTGCATGAATTAGAACATGCTCTATTCTGTGCAACAAAATTGCAGGGATTCTAGTTACTTTTATGATGGTTTGTTTGTAGCTGTTGTTGGCTCTTGGTTATGGCTGGTGTTAGTGACACTGTTGAAGCCACTATTAATGCTATACAGCAATTTACTTTTAAATTTTCATCCATTGCAATGTTTTGCTTGAATAAAAATAATTGTTTACAAGATACAAGAAATTTTACATGTTAAACAATGCACAGTTGGTAAGACTACTGTAAACTAAACAAATTGCAGCAATTTTGTCCCATTGCCCATTGTGTGATAATAAGCATGCCTTTTTATCCCCGCAAAATCCCTGCAATTTTGTCGCCACAACTAAATTGTATTCTCTGATACAAGTTCTAGACAGATTTTAGTATCCCAGAGATTTTGTTTGTGTTTTGGAAACAAAATTAATAAAACAGTTGAAATGTTGACCTATGAAGATCAACTTGCTGTTCTAGTAACATTTTGATTTTTTTCTTAACCTCCTCTTGGCTGATTGCAATAATTTCACACATCTGATATCAAAAATCTTGTTTAGTGTTCCTATACTTATATTTCTCAATTTTGAAATTCCAACCATTGAAATTAATTAAATTTATTATGGATTTATATGTAGGTAATAATAATTTATGATTTGCTAATAACAATAATTTAAGTCTTTGTTTAATCTTGATCAAATAAGCCCAAAAATTGCCACAATATTTTTGTTGTGGCAATAAAGATCAACATCTTTAAAAAATTGCTCTGTAGCTTGAGTGGATATGCGGCTTAAAATATTTAAAAAGTCTAACAACCAAAATAGATGTCTTTTCTAATTTAGTTGTCACTTAAAAACCAAATACTACTGATATAGACAAGTCGAATATTCCAATTCGTTGGAAAACTGTTTAAAATATAAAAACTTGTTAAAAAAATCGTCCATAACTTCTACTTTATTTGTGTAAGTGTTTTTCAGAAATAAAAATTACCTGACCCTTTATTAAATTGATGCATTACTTTACAAATGCACTACTTTTTCTATACAGTAAACTTTTGTTACTTTCTTCCTTTTCTGAAATTCATACCTCAAAGGTGTAAAGCCTTGATGCAACATTTCATCGCTGACATCAATGTTTTTATATTCCGGATAAGGCAAAACAATGTCAGCGATATTACTCCAATCTTGAGCCCACAGATTACCCAAAATGTGCGCTGGAAGGGGACCATCTGGTCGAATGACATTAGAACCATATCTCTGAAGTAATTTTCTTCTCACATACGTTAAAAGCTGCTTGTAGAGGGGAAGCAGCTTTTGGAAGGACCCTGCTAGTTCATTTTCTAAGTTGGAATCTTCGTATACGTAACGCATTTCTTCCCCAGCATCTTGAAATCCTATAAATTCAATGGTAGAGTGGTGTGTTGTACAGGTTCGTCACATGAAAATGTTAGATTTGATTGCAATTTCATTTGTCTTTGATATCCGAAAAGTGAAATATGGTTTATAATTAAACCTATAATTGTGAGAAAGCATTTTAACAAAATGAATATGCAAAAATATTATTGTGTTTCATTAAAAAAAAAACAAAGTTGGTATCATAAAGACCTCAAACATCATAACAACAAAATTATAGACCTGGAAGTAGTGACATATATTTTCAAATTTTTTTGCAAATATGTCGCGTTCGGTGTATCGGAGTTGTAAAGTTGTAGAGAATTTAATTATCTACAAGATTCGTCTCGCATTTTTTCCGAAACCTCGCCCCTTTCGAAATATTTAAGGTCAAAGTTTCAAAAACAGGTTTTTCGCGAGTATCTCGCACCTAATGTATTGGGCAATGATAAAGTTGAAACGTTAACCTTAATTTTTTTCGGATTTGGGTTTGGGACACTTCAAATTCAGCTTGGAGGGAATTTTGTCGAGGTTTCCTACTTTTTTCCTCTAATTTCCTTAGGCTATAGTACAGAAATGATTATTTTTAAAAAATTACTTTTTATTTATACTGAAATGTTTCCCAAAATGTCTTTCTATTAAAATATTGTTTTTTATTGGCCTTAAAATTACAGTTTCACATTACTAATTTTAAGTAAGTACCTACATATGTCATTGTTCCCCATTCTTTAATAATTTTTTGAGAAATTTCAATGAAATATGATATAAAAATGTAATTAGGTACGCTATTTAATCAGTTTGTTGTCAATAGTGGGAATTTAGAGGCCAAATTTCAAAGAAAAACACCAAATTTTCTCAATTGTCGACGTTTCGTCACTTATCGTGACATCCTCAGGACACTATAAAATTTAATAATTTCAAAATTACATCACAATTTATAAATAACAAACTTAACATTAAAATATTAAAAAAGTGTGTCTAAAACATTACAATAAAATGAATACAGTAATATCTATATAAACATGAAAAAAATTACAAATACAGACACACTAACAATTTTTATATGTCACAAATTTAAAACAAAAGTATTAAAATTACATAAACAAAATGTTTTTATATAATAAATAATAAAATAACAAAATATGGTGAATGAGAAACGCAACAAACAACAATCTGTACATAACATTCGAAAAAGAAAAATTAAAATTAAATCTGTATATTGTTTATATGTTACTCACATTACAGATTTAAGTGCTTCACTGTGTTTTCCTAGTCTCGTTGTACATAGTATGTCATATAACAATCTTGGACAGTATAGATATAGGTAGAGAATAGCGTACACATACATCAAGATCATGTATTAAAATATAAATCAAATTAGAGTTATTTTATCGTAGGTACGAGACTAAGGGTGAACAAAAACCAAACAAAAAGTTTACAAACATTACCTTTTTATCTCCTCTATAAGGTTAAAATATGATCTACTGAGGGTTTCAATATCCGATCTTTTATTTACCGAGTGTTTTTCTTTTTTCATGCATATCATTTCATCTAATAAACGTTTTTTGATATTATTATATTTGCCAATAATCTTCGTTGAATCATAATCAAAACGATGTAAATTACTATAACAGTGTTCGGCAAGTGCAGTATTGTTACTTTTTTTTTTGGCTTTATTGGATTTAATATATTCATACAATCTCTCTTATGTTCCTGAATACGAGTTCCTAAATATCTACCAGTTTGACCTATTTAATGATTATATTTTGTATTTATATATATTTAAAAGATAATTTAGTACCCTAAGGTAGTGGTGCCTGATTTGCCAAAACAACTTACGGAGTTAATCGTTAACCTTGTCGGCTTATTTCACACCGAAATGTTGAATATTTTGGAATATTACTAAATTTGCGTTCATGCGGATTGTTTTAAAATACAATAGAATTATTGATTTCTCTTGGGTCTTAAACATACAATCCGATACTGCCAGGAAGATAGTTCCTTTTCTACATGAGAATATATGCACTGTGAAGCTCCATGAATGATATATCGACCAAAGCTACAAACAACCAAAAGTTTGTCACTATCTCCCAGTCTATTATGTTCAAGTGAATTTTCTCATGAGGTCCCATAACAATAGAGCCATATATATTTTCTCATGCTGTTATAGACAGAATTCTTATAGACTCATAACCGAAATTAGAATACAGCTACATCAATTGCAGTTGTATTGTAACAACAGCAACAGAATATCTACAGCTGTAGCTAGTCAGCTATAAAACAATTAGTAAAAAAGTTATAAAATGTGAAAGAAGAGGTTATATATGTCATTATTATGTAGATCATATTTTCCATTAACAGCTCTTTATGTTAGTAAACTCTAACTACCATTTTCTAAAGCTTCAAACACTAACAAGGGGTCTGAGAACATTTACTTACCATTTATTCTAGCAGCTTGGTTAGCCAGATCAACGTATCTCATGAATTTATTTTTCATCTGGGGACCAACTCTGTCATGCCATTGTGTCCATATGTGAGTCAATTCAATGTTGTTCCTAGACTCTGCCATGATTCTTTGTATGTCTGGATCTAACTCCAAGTCGCAATAAACGTGCTTATAGTCGCCTGTTGGCCTAAATGGACATACCCTGACGTGTGCGTACATGTCTTTCATTTCCGAAATTAAGTGATAAATCTGAAAATATATTGTGATTTTCTAGTAACTGACTGTCATTTATTCTGTAACGATTGAGCTAAAGAACAGGCATTTTATGACTAATGTATGTAGGGCGTAAAGGTTCCTTAATAGGTTTTCATAAATAACAATTTTTTTGAACAGTGTAGTGAGTTTTACACTTTATATTAAGTAAGATTTTGCGTTTACGTTAACTACTTTTTAAATATTGGCCTCTGAACGTGGAGCAATTTTTCAAGAATAAAAAATAGAAATTATTTTGACCGAATATGTGCCTCTAAATTAACAATTCCATACTAAAGCATCTACATACTATCAAGTCCGTTATAATAAAATTTGAAATTCGTTTTTAAAATTCAGTCATTAACTTTTAGTTTTGATTATTATCATTATTAAAATAACAATAGACAGTCATATATGTATATATGTACATTTAAAAAAATTAATAACAGTCAATAGTATAGTGGGATGTCTAGTCAAAGAAATATATTTTTTTGAAGTCGGCATACTGTCTCTTTATTGTGACTTCTTCAGGGCTCTGAAATTGAACAAAGGAATTCTCAATGAAGAGACAAAACGCCTACATAAAACAAATTTTGTTTTTCATAAACTTTCATTTCCCCGTCCAATTATACCTACTACTATTATTATAATAAGGCCAATAATTATTTTGAAAAGTACTATCAATTAATAATAACTTGTCTAATGACGAAGAAAATATTACATTCATCATATAATATCAGTCCACGTGTTTTGTTATTGATATACTTTTGCTTTCCTTAATGTTACCTACACATAACGATAGCAAAACAAAAGCATTTATGAAAATTTTGATAAACATTTTTGTTTTAAATCTAGTTTATAAGTATTAAAAAATAATCAACATTTTATCTAAATAAAATTTTGATTTTTCTTAATCCTCTAATTCTCATCCACATCTGATTTTATTGCATATGTGAAAGCAACTTTTGAAAAATATCTATAAACACATCAAAATATTTTAATTAATCCAGTTTTTTATTGAAAAATTACATAGAATTTCTATTTCTAGGCTAAAACATTTCTAGGCTAGAAATGTGTAAATATTTTTTTCCATCTACGTATTTCAAGTAATTTAGGGAAATTTTGTTAATATAAAGATTATTCCCTTTCAAATTCCTTACTTTAATTTTTTAATTTCTATGCCTCGTAATAAAATAAAACTCATCGCGCTAATCAAATTTTCCAGCGCATTTCTCGCTGGAAGAGTTGATGATTTTGTTTTCCTTTAAGTTTATACTGTGAACTAGGTATTGTATTTAACATTTTTCTCTAAAATGCTCTCCCGCCGAGTTATTCTGCCATTCCTGTACTTTTGTTAGTTTGACCTTGTGGGGGGCCCAAGGTTAGAAGGGAGGGGTCACTCAAAGTCATATTTGAACGTAAAATTTCCACTCTTCATTTCTGGGGTGAAAAGTATAGGGTCCTATTTGAAAAATCACATTTGACCTTGAATGATCTTCAATGTCAAGGTCAATGTCAAGGTCACCATCGGATAGCCAGCGAGAAATCCTGAAACTTTTGTATTTAACATTATTCTCTAAAATGTTCTCCCGGCGAGTTATTGTGCCGTTCCGGTACTTTTGCTGTACAGGGTACAGCAAAATTTTTTTACAGATTTTCAGTAAGTGAAAAAATCAAATCTATAGCTTTAATATTAACCGTGATAAATAATTTCTCTTTCCTAAATTTTTTAAATGGGTCCATGTTGACAGAGCATCTATGACGTCACACCACTCGAATGATCCGACCTGACGGCGCTATTTGCTATTGTCTTGTATAGTTTTAACTTTTGATATCAAATTGGTAGTAATATTTCTTTTTTAATTAGGTCTGATAGTTTAAATTTGTTTGTTTTTGTCTGTGTCCATAGCTAGAGATATTATATATAATGTATGTGAAATTATTTGGGCTAGCTGCTGACGTCACAAGTCACAATATGACTTCAATGCGATCTTGTTCCGTTTTAGTTAATTTATTAGATGGAGAAATTGTTGAAAAAAAATCAGATTTTGGTTGATGGTTACTTTCTCAATATGAATAAAAAATATGCTAAATGAGCCCAATGGCAAATTAATTTAGTTTCAAACAAACTTTTTTGAGTATTTCGTGACTCCATGTTCCAAAGAAAAAAACATTTTCAATTATTTCAGTTAATGACGCTTTTTTTACAAAGTTAACGTGCTCCTGTCAAGTCTTGGTCCACACGCTCCTCACCAGACTGCCACTTTAAAATTTACGGCACACAAATAGTGAAATAATAAAGTCGGCCTAAAATTTCTGCCGTTAGCTCCCGAACTATTTAGGTATACTCTGTGTAATAGTAAATACTAGCCTCATTATACTTATCGTCCGACAAGCAAGCCCTGGTGTTGCTGGTCAGCATCCGCAGTTGCCTCCTCACCGTCGCATCCTGCAGCATCGTCCAGTCGAACGCGGCCGCCCTGCTCCACGTGAACTTATCGAACTTGGCCTTGTGCGTCTGCTCCTCCACCATGCGCCTCTTGTTGAGGTCGGTCATGTTGGTGGAGTAGGCCCACTGGGCGGAACTGACCCGCAGGCACATCTCGGAGGCTTCCAGGTCGTATTCGCGAAGGAACTGCTGGGCCTCGGCCAGGTTGGTGTTGGTGCCCTGGGGGTTAGAAGACACGCTTAAGTTCATCACAGTGAATCGATTTTTATTTATAATAACGTAGGTAGTTATTCTTTTGGTGAAAAAGGGACTTTTAAGAAAAATCGAATATTGTAAAGCGTCTCAAGACTCATAAAACATGGTCTTTATTTAAATTTAATGTGTAAATACTTCGTTAATACTGGCAGATGTTCTCCAAAACAAGTATTGACTTCATGGGGTTCAATTTGTTTCTGATATACAGGGTGAGTCAGTTTTTTGTAGTAGGATTTTAACAGTTGATCCTATAAACGTAGGTCTTAGAACGCTTCGTTTGTGAGATTTAGGGTGTTGAAAACAAACTTTTTTTAAGAATTTTTCTTAACATCTCTAAAAGACCAACATACAGGTTCGGAAAGTACCGATGGTCCATCTGCCGTTACGTGTGAGCGATAAAGTAAGACATAGAAATCCATGCGATAGAGTAGGATGGCTATAATGAAGGCGTCTAATAGTCACTGCCCATTTCGCCCTTCCACAAATGAAGACACCGGTGCAAAAAGGAGGCAGCTCCATATATTTACGATTTTTCGTTTTTAATCGGTACAAGTTTATTCAAAGGCGCTCCATCGATTGGTGCAGAAACGAGGCAGCTCCGTTAACTCATAAGGGAAATACAATGAATATATAGATGTCTCCTTATTGGATTCGGTGCAAATAGGGGATAGCTCTGGAGCTGCCTCATTTTTGCACGGAATGAATAATTCATACTTTGGCTGCTTGGATGCACCCCTGCAATGTAGAAGACTTCGCCCTGACGTTAGTAGGTTATTAACCTTCAATTCACTTTGCTATTCCGTGCATTTTATGAAATTTAGTGAGTGTGTCGAACAATATAGTTTTTGTAAAATGTCGGCTAGTAATAGTCCAAGCAAACAATTTGACGATTCGAACAGAGATCCTGATTTGTCTCCCGATGACGTTGGACCTAGCGTTAGACAATTTTCTGTGTTTAGTGCTGAAATTTCATCGCTGGTTCTAAGTGATTCTGAAAGTGATGGCGGTGAACAGAAACAAACAGTTGTGAAAAAAACAGTTGTCAAGAAACGAGCAGAAGATGAAAGTAAGTGGACAAGAAATATTGCTAAGAAAAGGAAAGCTGAAGGAAAATCTTACATCGGCATTAAAAAAAAAGTCTAACCAAAGGAGACCACCAAAGACCCAATCAAAGAAAACCAAAGACCTAACCACCAAAGACCACCAAGACCACCAAAAACCCAACCAAAGGCCAACCAAACCAACCAACCAAAGACCCAACCAACTAAAGACCCAACCAAAAGAAACAAAAATTTAGTATATCTTCTTATCGTGTCATGGAGTACACAACAAAAGGCGTGGAATGCAACAGTTCGGCCAGTGCCTTAGTTAAGGACTTGTTTGCCCTTCAGAAACATGGCGTAACGTTGACTATACCTCCTTCTACATTACTCTTCTACTTTGGACCGTTTTCACTTAAGCGCCCCAAATACCTACATGTGAAAGAACTTACATCAAAATATGTGCCTTCTGAGTGTATGTGGTTTTATGACGGGCTGAAGTATCGAGGAGAAAAAGATTAGTTTGTGCTCATTTATTACATTTGATGATTATAAATCGCACTGAAATTTGTTTGACATTTTTTTAACTTTCCGGTGCAAAAAGGGGGCAGCTCCAACGTTTTCTTTTTGCTATTGTTATCTAACCAAATTTCCAAAAAGCGTACTTTGTGAGTATATTATGTATTAAGTACTACAGCTTAACCCTACATATGAATCAAACATATAAATTCAAAGGATTCGTAGTAAAACAGTTTTTTGCTTCTCCTGAAAAATTTGCTAAAATGGAGCTACCTCCTTTTTGCACCGGTGTCTTCAAATAAGAAGTGGATCTTATTTGTGGAAGGGCGAAATGGGCGGTGACTATTAGACGCCTTCATTATAGCCATCTTTCTCTATCGCACGGATTTCTATGACTTACTTTATCGCTCTCACGTAACGGCAGATGGACCATCGGTACTTTCCGACCCTGTATATTGAACAGAAATTTGGTATTAATAACACATTAGTTATGGTGAATAAAACAAATATATCTGTTATCCATTTCACACACCAGTGACGTGCCTGAGGTGGGTTACTGCCCCCTTTAAAAAAATAATTCGTATGCCTGTGAATTTTTCTGGAAAATTCTAAATTTTAATCAATTCTGAACAAAACAGCTCTCTTTAAATTTTGTATAAAATGAACGGTTTTTGGTTAAATTCATTTGGCATGAAACTGTTCCAACGATATTGGCAATACCATTGTATAAGTAAATACTTATACAATGGTAATACATTTGTAATAAGAAAAATATGATGTACCCTGAAAATTAACAAAAACGATTAAATGTCATAACGTTGACATAAGAACGCAGTGTGTGTCAATTAGTTCTTTTTTTAAGTTCTGTGTTTATTTTTTCATGCCAAATTTCAGTTTAATATCTGTTGGTCTTTTAGAGATATTAAGAAACATTCTTAAAAATTCAATCATTTTTGTTGATTTTCAGTACGAATTATTTTTTTAAAGGGGGCAGTAACCCACCTCAGGCACGTCACTGAAGAGTGAAATGAATAACAGATATCTTCATTTTATTCACCATAACTAATGTGTTACTAATACCAAATTTTAGTTCAATTCAGTTCAGTTGGTCTTTTAGAGATATTAAGAAAAATTCTTAAAAAAAGTTTGTTTTCAACACATTATATCTCACAAACGAAGCGTTCTAAGACCTACGTTCATAGGAACTTTTCTTATTAAAAAATGATTCTCTATCAACTGTTAAAATCCTACAACAAAAAACTGACTCACCCTGTAGAAATAGTATTGACATGTGGTAAAGTATTTTGTATGTTAATACATTTTATATAATCTAAGTTTGTATAGAGACGGTTGCAGAGCAACAAAAACAAAAAAGTTGTTGAAAAATAAATTAAAAATGATGACATGTTCTAAATTCTATTAATCTATTTGTGTAGTTGTACAACCTTCAGGAAATAAAGAAAATTATTTAAATCAGCACAAGAGTTTATACAGTCCACTCTATCGAATAACAACTTGTTAATTGTAAGTTACACTTATTCTATAATAATTTATATACAGATACATTTTTATAGCGACTATAATTCATAGAAACTGTAAACATGTAAACTGAATTTGTTTTTTTGCTCAGAAAATGAATTATTATTAGATATACACAGGGTGGTCCGATTTCGGGAAGGCACCGCCAAGTTCTGAAGTGGACCTTCGATAAGGTTTTTGATATCTGGCCTCGTTGGATTTTGAAGAATCTTTTTGGTTCTCTGGACTTGCCATGGAACAGCCACATAGTCATGGTTCGAGTTTTGTGGCCGTCCTGGTGTAAAATTTTTGGAAAATTCGAAATTGCACACAGAGAGATAACACTCATGGAAATCCATACAATTGTTCCTAAAATCGCGACAGGATCAAATTGTATCAAACTATCATACAATATTGTTTGAAAATTTGAGAAACTCTACAATTTGGTGGTAAAAATTTCATAATTATTGTAAAAGTAATTACAATGTAAATGTCGGATTTTCATACAATTTGTTACTGTCACTATTTTAGGAATAATTGTGTGTGAATTTTCATAACAATATTTTCTCCGTGTGGATTGCGTTATGATTACAGTCCGACACGCGACGTTCAGACCGGGAATGAGCTCCGGTGCTAGACTGGCAAATTTGCTAGTGCATATTTGAAATTCACGAACAAGATGATTTCGGTCAAGCTTAGTACCTAAATTTCATTTAAAACGGACAACTATTTTAAGATTATTTGGAACAAAATATTTTTTTCCAAATTTAAACGCCAACTACCGGCTAAATAAAGGAACCCAATGCTCACTATTTTTGAGAAATGTAAGCTTATGGTTTTATTACACTGTAAAAAAATCACTTAAATTTCACTCAATTTCACTAAATAATTTATCAATTTCTGCCCACACCCGATTGAGTGAAATTTTTAGTATGAGTATCTATAACTGAGTGAAAACTATTGCATCAGAAATGATTGACAGAAGCAATATGTAAGTGGTGCCATCTTCACGGCGCCATTCAGGTTACTCGAAATTAATATATATTTAAACTCACCCAGTAATGAGGACATTTACTCTGATTTAGGTACAAGTGCACCAAGTAGTAATAGTTTACGTGAAGAATTTATTTACGGAGTACCTATAAAGAATTGAGTGAAAGTACTCAGTTTTAGTTTAAGTATGAGTAAAATGATCAAAATGCCCAATATTGAGTGAAAATGTACTCAATAATTTCACTCAATGGATTAACTCCGAACCTTTCAATCATGCACACCGATTTTTATACACTGTAGGAACGTGACATATTCCTTACTTCGTAATATGCTAAAATGAGGCTGTTTTTCTCTAATTTCTATGATTCCAAGACTTAAGCTTTTATTTTATGCCGAGAAAATTTAAAACTAGCTTCAGACTATAACATTGGCGCATTCGCCAAATATTAGAGTAATTTTTGATATAATGTTTAACTTCACAAAATATTGCTAGCATTTTGCGAGCGCTTTTATTTATTTAACACACTGTTCAACAGGTACTATCTAATTATAGAACAAGGGTACTAAAGACAATAATAAAAAAGTACATTAATTACAAACAAAATTAAGAGGAACACAAAAATACAGAACATTATAAAAAGGAAATAAATAAAAGCTATACACTAAATAAAACATGTGTTATGTTTTGTTTGTTATGTTTTCTTTAGAGCTAAGTCTAGGTACAGAAAAAGATAATTTAGATATAAATTCTTGGCAATCAGCCAAATTAAGTGAAATTTAAAAAAGAAAGACCTGTGAAAAGTATGCATTTCCGTCTAGTTTCAAGATTAATAAAGGAATGTCTACTTAAAAGATCTTCATGCGGATATCCGATATGTGCATAGTAGCCATCAGATTTAAAATTAAAAAAAATAAAAAAATCGGCGCTGGATCGATTCCAATTTATTAATGTGGACACCACTGTGGGAAGACCATACAGGATGAAGCATATTCAAGTTTCAATCTAACGTAACTAAAGTAAAGAAGCTCTACACTTGAAAAATCGCTACAGTTGCGAAACGATAGTTTTTCATCAAACAACGCCAAGGTCTCGAAACGTTTTCGGTTGTGATAGAACGTTATCAATGTTGTAATTAAACATAAAGCTTAATTATTGAAAAAAAAATATGAATTCCTGAATTTAAAATTACAATACAATTATTCTATAAAATGTATAGCTAGTCTTATAAATATTTATATATTTTAATATAACTTTATATACTTAGGCCATACAACACAGTATTTGGTACATTTTGAAATATAGCTCACACTGACTTATACTCAATACTAATATTTTTTTATTTAGGTAAATAAACAGAAGTAGATATGTGAGTGTCACTTTTTTCTTGAATCTCTAGGTGCACTCTCCTACAGTAATTATCTTAATAATTACCAATTTTTTTATTATTAACTGTACGTTAAAACAAACTCCTAATTACACCACGCGATGTGTGACATCCCCGCAATTTACTGTTACCAGAAGACGCGTGTGTGCTGTTTTGCTTGCTACGCTACTTAATTTCGAACAATATGTAATGCGTTTTGACCTAAAATTAGCCAGCGGAACGCCGAGAAGGAAGAGTTCTAGTGAAATTTTCGACATAAAATGTTAATAAGCGTTTCTTAAACATTACGATAAGTAAATTTAAATACCGGGATTATCTGATCGTTGTTATGTGTTAACAACAATTAAAGCAATTTTACATACCTACATGTTTTGATCGGTCATAGAGTAGGGGAAATTGTTGAAACTACTATACAGGGTTGTTTAGGTATAGTGTTCCAAAATACGAGTCTAAAATATCCAATGTAGAATATTGCACATGTTTAGCAGAAATTATTGAGATATTGACCGAAATTGAGTTTGGGATATGTCAGGGTACAGTTTTAGGCCCTACATAGTTTACGTTGTACATTAATAATCTGCCTTTCTGAATAGCCATTGTTGTATTTTTAGATTCGCAGCTGACACAGCTTTTCTTTACTCAGCTGAATCTTGGCCTGAGCTGAAAAATAAAGTTCATAATTTTAAAATTATTAAAGCGTGATTTGGTGTGAACAGATTAACTTTAAATTGCAACAAAACTAAATATTTACCATTTCGCCACCAATAATTTGCCTTCCCTCCACATCGACAAATTCACAGAAATAAAAGGTAGTAAAGAGGGAATAGCAATAGATACACATTTAAGATGGCACGTCCAGATGAAAATGTATTAAATAAAATCAATCAAATAGGCAAGAATACTATGCATTAGTGTAGTTTCAACTTGTTTATGGTATTATTGGATGGGGAGGAGTAAACCGTATTTACTTAAATTGTTTAGGTATTGAAAAAAAGATTTAAAAGAATCATGCATACACAAGAACATAATTTAGGTATCTATCACAACAACCGTATGAAAAAAGTAAAATACCTACTAGATTTACGGCAACTTTGTTGAGCAATATTTTAAAAATAATTAAGGTTTGGCAGCTACAGTTCGTAATTTTCGTACAAAATATGGTCGGTAATAGTGATATAGGTATATCACTATTACCGACCATATTAGGTAACTATCAACTGTGAAGATATTAATTGAAAAATTCAGGGATACTGATTAGTGATCTTAAATACTCTGGCCCTTCAACAAGTCTTATAAAACAAAACATCGAAGCAATTCGTGAGAGTGTTGCTTAGAGTCCAGAAGAATTGGATATTTCGAGAATCTCTCTACAGCGTATCGACAAAATTGTCTCATTTGGTGTTCAGAAAATCCACAAGTGGTTGTTGAAAAACAAATAAATCCATAACGTGTCACTGATTGGTGCGGCTTTTGGACTGGAGGCATCATCAGATCATTCTTCTTCGTAAATGCGACTGGCTAGGTAATAACAATTAATGATACTCGCTATAGCGACATGATAATCCAGTTTTTGTGCCTAAATTGCAATATATGAATGTAGACGACATGTGGTTCCAACAAGACGGTGTCACATGTCATACAGACCGAGAAACAATTAAATTATTCCATGAGTAATTTTCTGGTTGTGTAATTTCCCGTTTTGGTGATCAGAATTGGCCGTTTAGATCATGCGACTTAACGCCGTTGGACTTTTTTCTTCAGAGATTTTTGAAGTCTAAGGTTTATGCCAACAAACCCACGACCACCCATGCCTTGAACAAGTATCTAACCCGTGAAAGAAGGAAATTGAGCGCTGTATTGCCGAGATTTCGCTCGGATTTATGCAAAACCGTTATGGAATATTTCGACAATAGAGTGACAGCAAATCTGTGGAGGCCATTTACCCTACAGGCTATTCCGTACATAGCCCTATGCTGTATACTTTATGAATCAATAAAAAAATTATAATTTCTAATTACAAACCTGTGTATTCTATCAAAATTACTTCTTCTTCTTCTTTGGGACACCCTTTGTCCTATGTCTATGTGATATTAATATCATATATTGTATGGATCTTATACTGTAGTAGATATATTTTGAATAATATTATTGATTCGTCAACACAGAAAACTTTATTTTATATTTACCTACACTTGTATGTTCCTGAAATAAACTACGACTTAATTTTATATTTATATGATTCACTTATAAGTGAACATGTTACGTCATGTGTTACGGTTATTAGTGTACGGAAATTTTAACAATTATATAATTGAAGCCCTGTTTAAACAGCATGTAGGCTTCTAAGGCAAACATTTTATTCCACTATTTATTTTCTTAACGTAGGTACCTACTTCTAATACTAAAACCAAACTATACTTACTGGATAAAGAAATTGTTGAATAGCGCATTTCATAGCACAGTATTCGTCATTAAGAATTTATGTATGATATCGACCTAACGAGTAATTTATTAGTACTATATTATTTTCCTCGTATTTTAACTACTTTTTTTTAATCTATTTTATAGTATTTTTCATCTCTCACTTTGTGTTGTGTGTTGTGTTCATTTGACTTGTGTAAATAATATTTTGAATATTTTGACCCCAATAATGAAATTAAACTAAACTACTAGTTATGAATGTACTGTTAGGACTCAAGTTAGTAAATTAACATTATTATTAATGCTTTTTGTCATAAAACTGACTAAACCAGATGTTTCCGATTTCCTTTTCAACTAAATTAGTCTGTAACTTGGTGAGAAATGGTTGTAGAGCAATTGAGAAAAAGTAAATTGAAGTTTGAAGTTTCTACTTCCAGAATCTGAAAGTCAAAATTGTTTTATTGTTGATCAGCTTTAAGGAATCGTAAAAAATCCAACCGAAAACAACTTTAAAAATGTTTGCTTCCATTTTAAAAGGTCCGCCGGTTTCAATATTTTTTTGGCAATCTCATCTGTCAGTTCTTTTAGTTTGATTCATCCTCTTTAATCTAAGCTTTGTACTATAATCTGTCGCTGACTTCGTCAAAGAAAAAAATTACCTTTTTGGCTTTTATAACTAGCCCGGGAACTGATGATTATATAGAAAATCTTTGAAGCAAGATTTTGAAAACGTTTTGATAAAAAAATAATTTTGATGCAAGAAATTTCAGATTCAAAAAAGGTAAAAAATAACATATTTGAGGATTTTCACTAAACTTGATAGCTTTACAAATAATGAATAGACTATGGATATTTTCAGTTTGTTTTTTAAACTCAAAGTATTCCAAAGAAACCCTCGAGAGTTCAATCCGCTCGCTGCGACTAGAGACTTTTTTCCGCTAGATTTCCTATGATTTCTTAAAGGTGGACAACGATATTTTTGATTTTCAAATTTTTTTTCTCAACGTGTTGTGAATATGGGAAATAAGTACACACTTATAATTAAGTAAAAAATACTATACTATTAAATTTGGATCACCCTTTATGTTCACCAATTTTTTTTTTTTACATCAATACCTTTACGATTTGCACATCTGTGTCACAGAAAGTCTCTTGACCGAAGACCAGAATCACTAGAGCAACTAGTTGCGCACTCTTGATCATATTCACTTCTTTGGACCGAAAACGAAGCAACGGTTCATGTCTTGCCGCCCGTATTGAAAAATGTACTAAATGAAATCAGCCCAATGTCGTAAATGAAGGTGTGTTTGAGGGGCTGGCGTGACAAATGATTCTTCAGTTAGGTACGTTTCACGGAGCGGAACAATCGTCGCGAAGATTGCTTCTCTTGGCTCGTGCCTTGTGAGGAATTACATGACTCTGTTTGTGAGTCAGACTGGATTGGCTTCACATACCGATAAAGCAGTAGAGCCAAATCCAGGAAAGTCATTCCTCCTTATTTATTTTTTTATTTCTCCTAACTCTCCTACAGATAACTACCTTTATATAACATATAGTGTGACTAGATATCTCACAAACTTAAAACTTGGAACGCAAAATTAGATTTGACTTCTAGGTCAACGTAATATTCTTATTAGAACTCGGAATTTATTTTCTTTGGTTTTTATTCATTTATTTATGCAAAACGTATTTTTATTAAAAGAAATTGAATTCCGGAAAAATAAAAAAATATCTATAATTTTCTTCCAGAATGTACCAGAAAGTTGATATCAGAATATTTCTTTATTTTTCTTTTTAACCTTATCCAATATTTCAAATGTTATTTCGTATAAAAACAAAAAACAGGGGTTTGTTTATAATAAAAAAAAAATAGAAATCAATGATGCAGTAAGTCTGCAAAAAGCCCAATGTGTTTGGAAATTAATGTAATGTATTTTAAATTACAATGGTAAATCGTATAACTAGTATAGTTAAATTGAATGATGCAAACTGATAAAACTGTAATTATTGGAAAACTGATATGTGTCATCTGTCATTGTTTTATTTTAAACAAATGATATGAGCCACCTATGACTGCATTTTTTAATAACATTTGATAAAATGCGGTTCGCCTCTGCCCCTTATAAGATTTACCATTGTACAATTTTTTTTTCTGTAGTTGATCATTCGTTTTTTTTATATAATTTATTGTTTGTTAGTATGTGATGTGAATTATAACAATATTTTAAAAGAATATTTTGTCTTAGTGTGATTTAAATAAAATAATAGATTTTCCTGTTATGATACATATTGAAGTCGACATATCTCGAAAACAAATAAATATAGGGAAAAACTTTATATTACTCAAAATTTAACGATCTTTCAGATGGACTGTATTTCCACGTTCCAGGGAACAAAACATTTTTTTAGTATCGCTACATCTGTACAGAAAGTTGTGAATTAACAATTTGAAGCTAATCGAGGGAACTAGCAACCCCAATTTTCGAAACTAAAATAAATTTCTTCATTTCGGAGATATTGGCAGCGGGAATGTTAAATGGAACACCCTGTATATATTGTTAAATTTGCCTGAACATTTTTTTTTCATGCAAATAGTTAAATTATATGTAGTTTACAGTTATTTAGAGAGCTTGTTTTGATAAAAATGAGATTTATTATCAAAAATACACGAGTACTACTACTTTTATTTTCATTATGTAAAAATATAATATAAAGAACAAAAAACGAAACAAATAAATAGAAAATTTTGAATTTTGGTATGTTAAAAGGCAAAAATTTGTGGACCCCCCTATGTCTCTGGGCCATCCTCATCACAGCAATAAAGAGTGCTAACCGATAAATTCAAAAAAATGATAAAAACTGAAATCATTCTGCTATTTTTCTTAAAGATTAAAATAAACGGTGTCCCAAAAGTAACGCAAGATTTGAATTGTGCGTCATTTTCATTCCGAAGAGTTGGCCGCCTTAGGGTTACTGTTGCAGTAAACCATTGCAGTTAGACAAAATGAAGCGCTATACGACGAAGAAGATTGTGAAAATTCATTACAAGTACCGAGAGTATGTAGCTGAGACTGTGAGCGAATTACGTGGAATATTCGGTAGAAGAAACGCTCCGAAACATTGAAAAGATTAATTTCCAAAATTAAACAAACAAGTTCGGATGCAGATAATAAAAAAAACAATCCAGCCTCGTACTGGCCGTTCCGCCGAAAATATCGCTATATGGTGAGTGATGGAGTGGCGAAAATTCCCGTAACCTCAGTGCGCCGTCAATCTCTGAAATTAAATAAAAAGCACAATGCAGTGGATTTTAACAAAAGATCTGCATCCATTCAAGATTCAGCTAACCCAGGAATTGAAACCAGACGACAATTTATTGCCCCGGACATTGTTGACTGCTTGTACCAAATTGTGCTGGATGTTGGAAAATCAACAAGTGGACGACGATTTTGTTACGAAAATCATTTTTAGCGACGAGGCGCACGTGATAACGACCACTGAAAAGTCAGCCAAAGAGTGATAATGTGGTGTGAATTTTACGCTGGTGGGGTGGTTGGTCCATACTTTTTTGAAAATGGAATTTGAATGAAAAACGATATTGAGATATGTTATTGAACTTTTTGTGGTCTCACCAGCAGGATGGTGCCACCTGCCATACGGCACGTGGAACTATCCATTTGTTACGGCAGAAATTTAATAGACGACTCATCACGTAACTTGAAGTAACTTGGCCACCAAGATCATGCGATTTTACGCCATGTGACTTTTTCCTCATGGGGAATCGTAAAGTCCAAAGTTTATTCTACTCAAATGAATACCATTTCTGTATTAGAAATTATCTGTCCGATATCCACTTCATATTAAATGACAATGTCTACCCTTTAAAAACATGTAAAAACTTTTTAATTAATAAACTCTTTCTTCTTCATGTGAAATATCCATTATATGTAATATTAAATTTGGGTTTTTATGCTAGTTATTCGTAGTACCTATTTCATTGTCTTCCAATAATTCGCCGACAAAATTCTATAAGATTACTATCCAACCAAAAATAAGAAAAAAAATGTAACCTAGGTCCACAAATGTTTAGATTTTGTGATATGGTGATACAGTTTTTTTTAGTCATTCATATTTATTATACACATTTTTTAATATAATCAAATAATATATTCAAATTTGGTATACTAAATATTTTTTGAGGATGGACAAAATGAATGAATATCATTCAATATAATTTACATTTTTTTTATATCACGACTAGCCATTCTAAATTTGTTTATCGCGACAACACCGACTCCTTTAGTTTAAAAGGTATTAAGTTAATTCAAAGCAAGTCTAAAATTTTTCCTAAAATTCTCATCTAACGAAATCATATTTGTTTTTTTTTTTTTAGGAAACAACTATTCTACGGGTTAAAGACCCGTTCAACATTGAATAACCTCTGCAATATTTGGCAATGTTATTTTACTCATATTAATCAATAATTATCTAAATAAAATAAATATAATTTATAGAAATATTATTAATGAAAAAAAACATACATGACATATTTTTGTTCAATTAGTTTAGTTTTTTTTTTATTCAAATTTTAGCCATATTTTTTTCCAGTAAATAATGCATTGAGTTGAAATTTGGTACAAGCTGGTTTTTAAGAACACAAAATACGTCAGTGTTGTTAAATTTTAATCGTCTGCTCTCTCCGAGTCATTTTAGCTTTGTTTTGGTTCTAAAATCGAGAACTGTTTGAAATTAATTCTTAATCGATGCAGAACTATATGCCTAAACAAATGCGACTCATTAAATTACTAAAAATATAATAAAATATTATCATATTATTCGAAAAACGAAGCGTTTGTGAACCTACGTTGTTTCAATTTTTTTTATTCCTAATCAATCGATCCACCTGTACAATTTTATCGGTGAAATATTGCAACACTCTGTATATTAATAAAAATGATACAAACAATATTTGCATGTCTTCAGAAAAGGTCGTGAACGCTAATTTATTCTTCGCCCGGGGCTTCCAAATTCCTTCGACCGGCCCTGACCTAATCCTTGATGGGCTGTGCAACTCAACAATGCAATATGATGGGTTTTCCGGTTTTCTGATTCAAGGCAGCACAAGACTCACATTTCAACACGCAAACTTTTTCAAAGGTGACCTGGAGGTAATGCTCGTAATTGTTATTATTCTACTACTAAGGACATTTATATTATCTAGATTGGCATTATTTTAATGCTTGCGCGTGTCATAATCACATAAATTTATTTAACTATAATCATTTTCCTGGATATTCATAATGACACTGAACCACTGAACAAAAACATAACAATTAGGTACTTACATCTTACATAGGTATGTATATACGATGCTTAGGAAAAAAAGCAACATGTTATTCTTCTGATGTCTGTACCTGTATAAATATTGGAAAAGATAATTAATTTATTCATCGATTTTAATTTATGAAATTAATTAAATAATTAAAAATCAGCAAATTTCATTTTTATAGTAATTTATTAATTAATGAAAAAACTGCAAAGTGCAATAGAAAATAATGTTATTCTGAATTATTAATGGTTCATTTTACTAGTTTGAAANCAACAAAAACATAACAATTAGGTACTTACATATGTATAATAATAATAATGTACGGACAGAGTTTTGATCCACATTAGTTTTATACGATGCTTAGGAAAAAAGCAACATGTTATTCTTCTGTCTGTACCTGTATAAATATTGGAAAAGATAATTTATTCATCGATTTTAATTTATGAAATTAATTAAATAATTAAAAATCAGCAAATTTCATTTTTATAGTAATTTATTAATTAATGAAAAAACTGCAAAGTGCAATAGAAAATAATGTTATTCTGAATTATTAATGGTTCATTTTACTACTTTGAAATTGTAATTTTAAAAAATATAAAATGAGATATTGGATGAAATCAACTAATAATAAATTGTTTTTGCAATTACCGATTACCGCAAAATTGGTTTCTAGATTTCTAGATTAAACCCCTTCACGCCCACACTATTCTACGGTAATGAGTAGTATGTATTCTTTTGGCACACGCATGCGTGGGATACTAGCAACGAGATACGCATTATGCATGTGCGAGACGAAAGATGAAACATGAGTGGCCTCAAAAAAGAAAGATACTCACATGTTTAGGTCTGTGATTTATCCATAAACTCTTGTAATCAACGTCGGGCTGTCAAAGAACAATATGGCAGTTGAATAGCAATAATTTTACGTAAATTTTCCTGCAATTTTTAATAATCGGCCGACACGTGTCGCGAAAAAAGTAAAAATTTATGTGTTGAGTGAAGTTTTGTGATGAACGGAATGCTACCGTCTTTTACGCCGCCCGTCGTTAAACGTTTATTGGGTTGGAAAAAAGGTAATGACGCTGATGACAAATGGTGCGAGAAAGCAGTTAAAAGTTTAGTGAAAAAATTGAAGAAGTCCGGTGCATTAGAGGAACTTGAGCGAGCAATATCTTCTCAGAATCACAACACGAAATGTGTGACAATTCCTAGGTACGTTTTGGCGATATCCACATTGTCTGCATCGAAATAAACGAAGTTTAAGGTCATATTATGGATTTGCGCTCCCCCCTTACACCACTCAGTCTGGCTAGTGACCTACCCTAAATGTCTGCAAAATGCCCTGGCCTGGGCCAATTTAACCCATGCTATTTCTCCCTAATGCATCTTATCATGCACCCCTTTTTATTTTCAAGCATTCTCAAATTTATGACAATTTATGCACATTTGATTAAAATTTGTTAGTAAATAATTTGAAAGAGTACTGAAATTATTTATATACCTAGTTTACATTTTAAGAGAGCTGTTTATAATTTTGAAATTTACATTAATTGTTTATTTTCATACAATGACATTGGGAAAATGTGTAATATTTTAGAGTAAGGCCGAATGCTGAATTGGGTAATATACAGCAACAGCGCAAAGGATTACCTCATGTAATATATTGTCGATTGTGGAGGTGGCCCGAGCTCCAATCACATCATGAATTGCGACCCTTGGACAACTGCGAGTTTGCATATTCTTTGAAAAAAGAGGAAGTCTGTGTTAATCCATACCATTATACCAGGATTGAGAGTCCAGGTACAGTTATAGTCACTATAGCTATGTTATTGTAATAGCACTGATGGAGTATCATTAAAATGTTTATGAAATGCCTTTGTTTTTTAGCGTTACCTGCAATCTTAGTACCTCGCCATACTTTAAGTGATGAAAATAATTTATTTCCACATTCTCTTGAAGATCTAAGCACTTCTGTACCAGAGAATACGTCTTTCCCTCATAACACGAATACCTTAGGGTAAGTTATATCTTAGTTCGAATACAATTATAGTAAAAATTTCAAACTTTGATGTTCTGTTTAAAACGAAATGTAATTATTATTTTAGTTTACACCTTTCACATTCAGCTGGTTTCATGGAAGCTGTAGGAATATGTCCCAATGGTACTTCGACAAATATGGAATCTCCGCATAGTGCGGTTCCACCAACAGAGACACCTCCCCCGGGATATATGTCGGAAGACGGAGACCCTATCGACCCCAATGACAACATGAGTAAGAATTATTAATTTTTTCTTTTGAAAATATAAATTGGAATTTTAAATAGGTTTATCACGAATAACACCCAGCCCTCCGGTAGACGCCCAACCAGTATTATACTGTGAACCCGCATTCTGGTGCAGCATTAGCTACTATGAGTTAAACACGAGGGTTGGCGAGACTTTTCACGCTAGCCAGCCCTCCATTACTGTTGACGGTTTTACAGATCCCAGCAATTCAGAAAGGTGAGTGACATGTTTGTAATAATTTTGTTTTTAAACTTTACTGAATTACATTTCTTAAAATTATTTATATACCCCATATAATTTGAGGATTAATTGAACAAACTTTGAAAAAAAACCTCTGAAGGAATGTCTGTAAATGCTTCATTGTCACGATGCAAGGTCTAACATAGCTTTGAAGGCGTCTGACGTATGGTGATGAAACTTAAATTAAAAATGTATCTAATTAAAGATAAAAATCCACTGGATCTGAATATAAATATGCTAACCAATGGTGACGTCAGGAGCCATTATTACTGAAATTTGACACTTCTAGGATTTTTGAAAATTTGATTGCTGTTTGTAACGTGTAATAGTAATTCGAAGGAAAAGGGTCTCTTCCGTTTCGATTGGGAAGTGAACTATTTTTAAGTTATAAGTTCTAGAGCTACTCCTTTGGATTCGTCGAATTTTTTTCTAGAACAAGAATTTTAAAAAAACTATGTACATATAACTTATGGAGTAGCCACTAGACATTTAATAATATTGTATACTAGTATTGTTACCTAATCTTGCGCAATAAGAGCTAGGTCCAAAATGTAACATTTTTTAGACAAATAATTTCTCAATATTTTTTTTTAGTTTAGTTCTATTTTACTTAAAATTGTATTTAACGAACTTTATTTATATTGTTTTATTTACAGTTATCAATGTTTCATGAGCTTTAATTTCTTTTATGTGCTTATTGCTTGATTTCACCTGTCTTAACTTCTTTAAAAATTGCCCTTTTACCATTTTTAAAACACGACATATTTTTTGCTATAAACAAACTAAAGAAAAATAAATATCATGTACAGTCGGTGCCACCCAAATGTGAACGGCAATATTGTACCGTGTAATGTAAACTTCAAATCATAGTCGTAAAATTCAATAGTTGTCAAATATACATATGTCAGTTAGAGAAAACGTAATTAAATGTAAACAAGTAACGTGGAATATGCCGGAGCATTTAACTGAAGCGCATAGAGCAAGGGCTATCAGAAGATAATTGGTCTTTGAGTGAAGTGGCTGCTGATTTAAATGTTAGTAAGAGTTGTATATTTTATATTAAACAACGCTGGCGAGAACAATAATTACAAAGATCTATCAGGCAAGGTTTCGGGAAGGTTTCCAGTGACGCGGAAGACAATGCCTTGGTCGAATTTATCCATAAGAATACCCTCTCTGTGTTACGCCACTAAAAAAAGTCTGATTTACTACAATAAAATCCAGATGAAATTTCCAAAACAACCAAAATGCGTTCACATTTGGGTGGCGCCAACTGTACATTCTGTTACAAAAGTATCCGGAATTTATCATTTAAAAATTCCATGTAAAGCCTGTATCTGACAATGCAATTTGGTTGCATCGATTTGGTTGCTGCGATAAAATCCATGAAATTTTTCTTATCAGACTAAGTAATTCTGTCCCGGCAACTGAATTACATAAATTAGAACATGCTCTATTCCATGCAATACAATTGCAGGGATTGTGGTTACTTTTACAGAGATATGCTTATTACCAACCTATATTTTATAGCTGGTAGACCTGTGAAAAGGTTTAAACATCCTCGAAAGCGTTTTAAAATCCATGGTCGAACCCACCATCTTGATTTTATGGCTGTTGTTAGTATCACCATTGAAGCCGCTATTAAAGCTATAGAGCAACTTATTTTAAAATTTTCATCCATTTGCCTGAATCAAAAGTAACAGTTTATCGTTTACAACAAGATACTTTCAGATATTTTATATGTTAAACAAAATGTGCAGGTGGTAACACTGCTACAAACGAAACAAAATGCAGCAATTCTGTCCCATTGTGTGATAAAAAGCATGCAATTTTATCCCCGCAACAAAATCCCCGCAATTTTGTCACCGCACCCAAATTGCATTGTTAGATACAGGCTTAAAGTAGATTTAAATTTATTTTTTGAGGGACAGTTGGTAGCACTGTACTCTATTCTGACACGAAGTTTCAGTGCGATCTGTCAAGTAGTTTGTTTACAGCTGGTAATTTTGTTTGTCCACCTAAAGTTTCTTCCGCAATTTTTACTATGGATAATGTTATTGAACAAAGAGTTTGCTTAAAATTCTGTGTTACTAACAGAATTTCTTGTGCTGAATCGTTAAAAATGTTGGGAAAGACATATGGTAATTCAGTTTTATCGAACTCAAGCATATGAATGGTACAAAGCATTGAAATATAGTTGAGAAGCGGTTGAAGATTTGGCAAATTCTGGTCATCCTTCAACGTCTTCAGCTGAAGAAAACATCGATAATGTGAAGGAAATGGCGCTTGCAAACTGACATTACAGTTTGAGAGACTAACATATGAAATAAACATATCTCACGAATTAGTTCGCACCATTTTAGTTGATATTTTGGGTGTGAAACGCAGCACGGCTGGTTCCAAAAGAACTGAATTTTCTTCAAAAAGAGCATCGCAAACGTGTTGGGGAAGACATGCTTTGAACGAGCTAATTCGTACTCTATATTCCTGCAATGCGTCACAATGGGTGAGAAGACAGAAGTTTACAAGTTTGACATGTAAACAAACCAACAAGCTGCGGAATAGCACCTTTATAATGAGCCAAAACCAAAAAAAACAAGTCAAAGTCGGTCAAAAATCAAAGTCATGTTAACTGTTTTCTTTGGCTGTCGTAATATCCACAAAGAATTTCTTCCAGATGGAGAAATAGTCAACAAAGAATATTATACGGGGATTATGAAGCATTTGAGAGAGCGTATCTGCTGCAAAAGACTCGATTTATGGAAGGACAATGCTTGGATTTTGCACCACGATAATGCACATCACACAAAGCGATAATTCTGAATGAATTTTTGACCAAAAACTCAAGAAATGTCATTGAACTGTTACCGTGGTGACTTTCCTCTTGCCCAGACTCAAATTATCACTTCGTGGAACACGTTTTAAATCGATAGAACCCATTGCACCTCGATAATGCAACATTACACAAAGCGATAATTCTGAATGGATTTTTGACCAAAAATCCAACGAATGTCATTGAGTTGTTACCACGTTGACTTTTCCTCTTTCCCAAACTCAAATTATCACTTCGTGGAACACGTTTTGAGGCGATAGAAGCCATTGCACCACGATAATGTATCATTACACAAAGCGATAGTTGTGAATGAATTTTTGACCAAAAGCTCAAGGAATGTCATTGAGCTGTTACCGTCCTGACTTTTCCTCTTTCCTAAACTCAAATTATCACTTCGTGGAACCCATTTTGAACCGATAGAAGCCATAAAAGAAAATTCGCTGAAGGAGTTGAAGCCCATACCGGAATATGCATTTAAAAAGTTCTTTGACGACTGCGTTGTTCGTTGGAAAAAGTGTATAGCACAATGGATAAAAATGATGAACTAAATATTTTATAAATGTTCTTTTATTTTTGTTTTTAGGTTTTGTTTGGGATTGCTGTCGAATGTGAACCGTAACACAGTGGTAGAACAAACAAGAAGACACATAGGAAAGGGAGTAAGACTGTATTATATAGGTAATATTATTTAATGTTACAGTTGTTTTTTTTTGTAATACTGTAAATTTTGTATTTGAATTTAGGTGGCGAAGTGTTTGCGGAATGTTTAAGCGACTCAAGCATCTTTGTCCAATCCCCCAATTGCAATCAAAGATATGGCTGGCATCCTGCTACCGTTTGTAAGATACCACCAGGTGGGTCTTATTGTATTTTAATTTGAAAGAGTTTAGGGGATATTCTAGTTTTTTTTTTATGTAAATGTGTCGTTTTTACAGGTTGCAATTTAAAAATATTCAATAACCAAGAATTCGCAGCTCTACTGTCGCAGTCTGTGAGTCAAGGGTTTGAGGCTGTGTACCAGTTAACGAGGATGTGTACGATAAGGATGTCCTTCGTAAAAGGGTGGGGTGCAGAGTACAGGTATAAATTAACGTAATTTTTAGTTTAAATTAATTGACATTGGAAATTGTGGAGTGTACGCCATGTCCAAGACAAATACAATTGTACAAAATTACAAGTCGATTCGTCGAAAAAAAAGGTTCCTTGAAAAATGCTTTTAAAGTTTTTGTTGCTATTTATTCATCATAAGAAATTCGTTATATACCTTTAATCAGTGATGCCTTTACCATATAATTGATATCTTTTAAACCGTTCATCCAAATATCGATTTTTTTCTTTTAGAGTAGCTTTACCCCTTAATATTTAGTTTGCTATTTTTAATACACATTTTAGTTTTTGTGGAATATTTATAATTTTTTTATATATCAATACCCTCATTATAATGATGTATCCCACATTGGTAAAAATTTTCAGGAGATAAAAACATCTTGTCATAATTGAAAAAAAAAAGTTAATTTTTATTTTTTATGCAATCAAAATGTACAAGTAATAATAATTACGGCAAAAAAATAACATTTAAATAAATTGAATAACGATATCCTCGTTCTAATATGACGTGTCTCACAAAATTTGACAATTACACTTTTTCTGAAAAATGGAATCATAATAATGT